AAAATAAAGCTGATGGATATATAGTTGTATGTCAGAAAAGGTATCACAAAAAAAGTATATTTCAAACTAAACAAATGATCATCTGTATTTATATATGAATGTTATATGGAGCAAGTCTTTCAACTAAAAGTAAATGAGTAAATTACATATGTAAATATATAGGAATATCATGGAATAGTTATATATATATATATCTCCATCTTATCTACTTCCAAATGCTATAGAATTAGTCTATCAAGTAGCCTTCACTTTCCTATAAAAAGCCTCCATGAGTACAGTGATTGCTACAATCTCTCATTGAAGAAAAGCTTAGCATACAGCTTACACCTTCTCCGCTTTTAATTGAGCTATAGCAATGGAGATCTCCCGAAGAATGCTTCTCGTTCTTCTTCTTCTGATGCTTATCCTCCCTATCTATGGTATATATGATTAACTTTTCTTTAGTGAATATATACAACTCTTTCTAAATTATTTTGAATATGTTTTGTCGACCACAATAAATATTTAATGAACAAAAAATTCATCAAGCAGACATCCGTCATGAAACATATATATGATAAAGAACTCAGACCTAAAATACACGATGATTATTTGCCTTAATCTTTTTTTTATTTCAAGCAGATGTTGTTGCGACTATGCGCGTAAGGAAGGAGCAACGACCCACGGGGATAGCTTGTAACAATATTGACTGCTTTTATTTTTGCACTGCAACTGGTCATACGGGGGGCTATTGCAGATATATTTTTGTTTGCCATTGCACTGATGATTAGAAGTCGTATAGCTTTGTGCTTTATGTCTTGCACGCATGGTGGCTTCATAAAAAAACTTTCCCTTCCTGCTTGGTTTGCTAGCTACTTTCATACGTACTGGCATATCCAAAACAAGAAATGTAGCCATTGTTTGCTTCGGTTGTGGGTCTTAGTTTCATCTGGTACTGTTCAATTTGTGGTGTTTAGTCTTTGTCCTATGATTGGAAATAGAAGGGATCTCTATAAGCAACTAATTGAAAGCTGTCAAAAGGTCTAAACTTGCTGTAATTCTGCTTATCTCTATTATTTATGAAATTTTTAATGTTTGAGTGAATTTGATCACAACTTCACGTGAAGATCTGAATACGTACGCAAGCTGAACTTCGTAATAGTGCAAGCTGAAGCTCCCAAATATTACTATCCTTGGTAATCCTTCCCTACAAAATATATATAAGAAATATACATGGTTATCAACTTTTAAACATTCAAAGGAGAACCAAACATTCTTCATTAATATTTATTTTAAATATTGCATCCATTGTTTATCTTGATTTTTTTCTTTGCAAGGAAGATTTACTCAAACACCAGTAAATCTATTATATTTATAAAACTAATGTACATCTTAAGAAAATAAACTAGCAAAAGTATTTTAAAATTGATACAATATTGTTGAAAATCACCTGATGGGGCGTGAATATTGAGATATATTTGAATTAGAACTTTCAAAATTAAATTCAAAGCCATCCAAACTCCAAATATATCAAAATTAAGTGATCTAATCCGAGCCTCAACGAGCCCAAATCAAAGGCTTGAAGAATACTTGGAAACTTCCAGACATAAATTGGATGACAAACCAATCTCCAAATCCACCATACATACAATTGAATAGAGTTTCTCGATGAGACAAACCCAACGAATCCAATATCGCTTAATTCCAACATTATCAAAGCGCTTAAATGTTGAAGTAATTTTGGAAATCATCATATATCAATCAAGCTAATTTTACGATCTCAGTATAGCATCCTTAGGTGGCCAAAAACCAAATTCACCATCTCTTATATTATTTTAATAGAACCCAATTGACCCAATGTATTTCAATGATGGATTTATGTGTATTTAGTCTGTTAGAATATGTCTCACAAAACAAAATATTTCAAAGGTTATATATATATAACGTTAGAATAGGTCTCACAAAATAATGTATTTTAAAGGTGGATTTAGATATGTATATTGTTTGTCAGAATAGGTCTCACAAAACAATATATTTCAAAGGAGGACTTATATATATGTATATTGTATGTCAGAATAGGTCTCTCAAAACAAAATATTTCAAAGGTTAACTTATATATAGATATTGTATGTCAGAATAGGTCTCTCAAAACAAAATATTTCAAAGGTTCACTTGAGAATAGGTCTCTCAAAACAAAAGAAATTAAAATCATAAAATTATCACTCAAACACGAAATATAACAATGGTATATATATACAAAGTTCTAAATTCAATAAGGTTACAATCACAAGTTCTAAATACAATCATCAAATATAAAAAAGATCTAATCCTCAGCTGTATCCTCACTGTCTGCAGATGGCTGCTCCTCTTGCTCCTTCTTCCTTTGATTTTCAGCTCTGTAGGATTGCAGCTCTGCTTGAAAAATGTGATTAGATTTTAATGGTCGGAGGTATGTAAATATTATTTATGAATTAAATTCCGCATATTTTATTTAATCAATTCCTTATATCATAAAGTTCTCTCTATAAAATTAATATTTTTGAATTTGAGAAACTTTTGTAGAATCAACATTAGGTTTTCTTAAAAGAAGTGGTCATTATAATTTGGATGATGGTGTTGATTGCAATAAGGACTTGAGATGTCTCAAATGGGTTAAGAATAATATGAACCCTAAGGTTGGACAATATATTTAGATACAAAATAGTGAAGAAAAAGGAAAATAAATTAATATCCACAATGAATGCTAATTCAGTACAGGAAAAACACCGCCGTTACCATTACCTTCAAATCCCAATTTTTCTTCAACTCACACAAAAAATAGGGCAACCGGTTTGAGATTGAGGGCGGCAAGATAGCGGCCGGTGTGGGGGCGGCGGTCGGACTGAGTTCGTCGGCGGTCGGAGAGTGATTGTCGTCGGTCTGAGTTCGTCGGCGGTCGGAGAGCGATCATCGGCGGCAAGACAGTGCGCACGATTGAGCGAGAGGGGCGGAGGTGACGGCAGAGCTCGTGCGAAGAGAGAGAAGGAAAGATTAGAAATGAAATGTGAGGCTCAGGCCCATTCATTTTAGGGCATTTACCGGCAGTCTACCGGCGGTCGGGACCGCCGGTAAGTTCATCACTTATCAACAGCGGTATAAGCTGCCGGAAAACCGCCGGTACGATTGACAGCCGGCGGTTGCACCGACGATTACAAGACCATCGCTAATACCGGCGGTCTGTCGTTATGAAACCCCTGGGTAGGCCGCCGGTATTAGACAGCGGTCACACCGCCAGGCGAACCGCCGGTAGTACCGGCGGTTAAAGAACCGCCGGTCATAACCGCCGGTAAATGGTGTTTTTCCTATGGTGAGTGCATTTCTAACTATCCGATAGAAATTTTTTATAAAAAATATCTAAATGTCTAGAATGATTACCTTTATGACATACACAAAATTACATGGTGAACATTTAGCAGTCATAAAGTTATTCTCGTCTTCTCACTAAGAAATAATTTATTTAATCAAGAAAATAAAAAAAAAATCATAATTTTGAAAACTTAGAAAAAAAGCAACTCACCTCGAATAGAATATTAAGAATTAGGGGTGTCAATTTTGGGTCACGGGTCAGGTTCAGGTCGAATTCGGAACTGACTCTGTTTTAAACGGGCCGACCCTAACCCGACCCTGGTAGATAAACGGGTTGGAAATCCGAACCCGGACCCGACCAGTTTTTCAAACGGGTCGAATCCGGGAACCCGAACCCGACCCATTTTGAAATCGGGTTGGGTCCAACCCAGATTTTCCTGGTCGGGTTTTCGTGTCGTGTCAAATATTGACACCCCTAGTAAGAACTAGCTAGGCTGAAAGTAGAAAATAAATCAGAGTCATCCAGACCTAGCTTTCTCTCTCTATAATTCTTTCTCTCTCTCTGGTTGGCTGGCTATATTTTCGATTAAGTTTATATCTATATTTTCGATTAAGTTTCTGTTTCTATTACAAAAAAAATGGGGATAATATTTCTTCAATAAAACTTTCACCGCATATCTTTTTATATATTATAGAAATTGATATTTTAAACACTTCTAATACTTTCTAGAAATTTTATACATGGAGCTTTGGAATTTATATAATTTTTATTAAATAAAAAATAATTTGAACTCTGATAAATATTGGTGTAATTTAATTAAATTCTTAAAATAGTGTTCTGCATGATCTATAATAATTTGGTTATTTACAAAAAATATGAATTTTTGCTATTCGAGTTTTCTGTTGCCAATCGTTAAAGTATTTTGATAAATTATGAAATGTGTGTATTTATACATCAATTATTGTAATATATTGAAATATGCCCCTAATTAGTTAAAATGAGTGATTATTTGGATATCTAGAAGTGATTTTGAGGATGAGTTTATTTTAAATACTTTTAATATTTTTTTATCTACACAGACTGTTAATCACCTTCCTTTTTTTATAGACAAAACAAAGTATTGTGGTACTTGGTGTATTCGGAATTCACATATAATTTGAGTGAATTTATAATGCACAAAAAAATAGTTATTAGGGAGTTCGAATTGTATTAAAAAATTATTTTGAATTTGCTTTTACTTGTGAAAAACACTTTAAATTTTAGAACCCTACATTTCAAATTAATGCTAAAGCCCAAAATATTTTTTATGGCCCATACTTGGCAAATTATTGGATCAGGTGACCGGACGCATAGATAGGTCCGGATATTAATAAAATAATATTTTAAATTAAGCGCAGATAAAGCGCAAGTAAAGCACAGGCAAAACGCAACTAAAGCGTAAGTCAAAAAGCAGTCAAAAGCTCAGGTAAAGCACAGGTAAATCGCAACTAAAGCGCAAGTCAAAAGCGCAGGTGACGCGGCAAATTTTTATTGATTGTCCGAACTTATTTTTCGCCTCTGATCACCTAACCCAATAAATTGCCCCCATACTTAAAGGAGAATATTACATCTTTAAAATTAAAAATTTAGCCCCCTGCTTTAAAAAAATAACACTCGCAAACAATTTCAATCATAATTGTAATTTAATCGTTAGTACTCTAAGATGGGAACGAGCCACGAGCAAGAAACAGCGATTTTCTTTGACTACGTAACTAGCGCATTGTCCTTTGGTTTAACAGTCAAAGCCCTCGACCGTTGCCTTCCTTCCTCTGCTCTTCTCCTGCTACTACGCTCCACTGCGACAAGTGCCACAAGCTATTCCTTACAACTTATTGGCATATACAACTGAATTAACTCCAAATATATGAAATCCAATGCTTTTCTTACCAACAACTACGCATTTGAGTATCACATAGCTTCTCTTATCCAAAAATGCCCGAATATGAAAGCCCTCCGCCAAATCCACGGGCGTGTACTCAGGAACCCTACCCTTTCGCCTCAGCCTTGTACTTTTGTACTCTGCAAAATCATTAGTTTCTGTGCCCTTTCGCCAAATGGTGATATTCACTATGCCCACCGACTGTTCGATGATATTCCCCAACCAAATGTCTTCTCTTGGAACTCCATGATAAGGGGATGCACTCAGATTCAAAACCAATCCAGGGAGCCCATTGCATTGTACAAGAAGATGCTATGCTCTGGCTTTGCCAAGCCTAACAGTTTCACCCTTGCTTTTGTCCTGAAGGCCTGCTCGAACATCTCGGCCTTGTGCGAAGGACGACAAGTTCATTCCCATGCATATAAATATGGCCTTGATTTTAGTCCCTTTGTTCAGACTGGGTTGCTGAATTCTTATGCAAAGTGCGAGGAACTTGCTTCTGCACGGTTTGTTTTTGATGATATTTCTGATAAGAATTTGATAGCATGGAGTGCTATGATTAGCGGGTATGCAAGGATTGGGATGGTAAATGAAGCTTTGGGATTGTTTAGGGAAATGCAGGAAGTGGGTATCTCTCCTGATGAGGTCACGATGGTGAGTGTCATCTCAGCTTGTGCAAAGGCTGGGGCATTGGATTTGGGGAGATGGTTACATTCATTTGTTGATAGGAAGGGGATTAGAACTGATTTGGTATTGAGTACTTCACTGATTGATATGTATGCCAAATGTGGTTTGATTGAAAAAGCAAAGAAAGTGTTTGATGAGATGGGAATCAGGGATACCATGGCTTGGAGCACAATGATTGTTGGCTTTGCAACTCATGGGCTTGTTGATGAAGCTTTGAAGCTTTTCTCAAGGATGTTAGATTCAAAGGTACTTCCTTGCACATCTTGTATTAAGTTTTATGTGTGAGCGGTTAGATCTTGAATTGTTATTTTGTATCATTTTTTTTCTTGAGCTCTGATTGATGAATCTAGTATGCTGTTAATTCAACTGTATTGTCTTTGATAAGTCAAGAAGTTGGGATTTCTTCTACTATTTCTCTGGAATATTTTCTGAATACTTATTTTTAAAGACTTGGAGGTTTTGAAGAGAGTGGGAATCTCTTCTATTACTTTGATGTAGAGCTACTATAGTATTTATAATTATAGAACAACCAAAACCAGGAAGGTGAATTAGCAACTATCATTATTTTCTACCACGTGTAGAACATTTGACAGATAAATATGTAATGTACAATAAGAGGAAAGTTGACTACAGATTTCCTCTAACATCCCCTCTCAAGATAATGTCCTTAGGAAGGATGCCAATCTTGACATATAATCTTTTAGGATGGTCACAAAAAAGTGGGTTTTTTGTGTGCTGGCAAGTTGATCATCATTCGAAACATGAGATAATCGGATGTCATAATTTTGTACTTTAACATGAAAAAAATGAAAGTCAATGGCAATGTGTTTCATTTGGGAATGGAAGATTGGATTTGCACAATAGTCGGTAGTTCCAACATTGTAGCAATAGATTGTTGGTAATGTAGCCAGTCAATTGCCGAGTTCATGAAGCAATGATTGTAACCATGTGATTTCAACAATGATAGAGGCCATGGCACAATACTCTTCCTCGGTGGATGATCGAGCAACAACAACAACAAAACAACAACATCAAGAATCCTTTTTCTCCATTGTGTCCAGTTAATAGTCAAATTCTCATTTAAATCTAAAAATGAAATGTCATTTCTAATATTTTCTAACCAAGTCTTTTTAGGTCTACCTCTACCTTTCTTAATATAAGCCAAATCTAATATATCTACTTTCCTAACCGGGTTAATTGAAGGCTGTTGTTTATGTGACCAAAACATCTAAGGCAACTCTCTCTATTCTTATATTCCACTAGAGCTACTCTAACCTTTTCACGTATATGCTCATTTGACATCCTGTCTCTAAGAGTAAAGCCACTCATACACCTGAGCATCCTCATCTCTGCAACAGTTAATTTAACATTATGCTTCTCTTTTAATGGCCAATATTCAGCACCATAAAACATTGCTTGTCTAACCACCATCTTATAAAATCTTTCCTTGAGTTTGAGGGGAACTTTTCTATCACACAACAAGCCTAATGCATTCCTCCACTTCAACCATCCAACTTGAATTCTGCTAATAATATCCTCATCTATTTCACCATCATTATGAACAATAGACCCAAGATGTCTAAACGTGTACTATTATTAATGACTTGAGTGCCCAAAGTCACAAACTCTCCACTAGATCTATTGCTACTAAAATTACACTTCATATATTCAATTTTAGATCCACTCAAATGAAAACCTTTAGACTCTAAGGTTGACCTTTATAATTCAAGTTTACCTTTAACTCCATCTCTAGTCTTATCAATAAGAAGAATATCTTCAACAAAAAGTAGACTCTAAGGTACAACCTCTTACAAATTTCTTCTTAGAACATCCATGACTAAATCAAAAAGATATGGGCTTAAGGCTAATCGCTGATGTAATCTAACAACAACAACAACAACAACATCAATCCTTTATCCCACTACGTGGGGTCGGCTGCATGAATCCTTTTTCTCCATTGTGTCCTATTAAAAGTCAAATTCTCGTTTAAATCTAATAAAGAAAAGTCATTTCAACCATCCAACTTGAATTCTGTTGATAATATCCCCATCTATTTCACCATCACTCTGAACAATAGATCCAAGATATCTAAAACGTGTACTCTTATTAATGACTTGATCGCCTAAAGTCACAATCCCCTCACTAGGTCTATTACTACTAAAATTACACTCCATATATTCCGTTTTAGATCTACTCAAGCAAAAAACCTTTAGACTCTAAGGTTGACCTCCATATTTCAAGTTTACCTTCAACTCCCTATCTAGTTTTATCAACAAGAAGAATATCATCAGCAAAAAGCATACACCAAGGTACATCCTTTTGCAAATGTCTAGTGAGAACATCCATGGCTAAAGAAAAAAGATATGGGCTTAAGGCTGATCCTTGATGTAACCCAACCGAAATAAGGAAATACTTGGTCAAACCACCTTGTGTTTGAACACAAGTAATAAATGGTGGAAAAAAAATATATCATCACGCAGATTTTGATTTCTCCTATTTTGTAATTAAATACTGCATTGAGAATAAAGTACAGTCTCGAGAGACTGACACAATATTCTACAATGGATTCAATATCAAAATAGGGTTTTGAAAAATAATATTTCATGATCAAACACATTTCAAAGAAACATATCTTCTCGAAAGATGAACATGAAATTCTAGATAACGTGTTTAAAAATAGAAATAAGATTTTTGAAAAGTTTATCTATTCTTTTATTGAGGTGTAAAAAAGATAATATTATATCATCTTAAAATACGAACATAATATTCTTTAGAACACCCAAAAGAAAGAATAAGTTTATACAATTCATCATTTCTAAAATCCAATATAACAAATAGAATATTATACTATCTAGAAAGATAATAATAATATTCTATAAGTATATTTAAAATTATAAATAAGGTTTTTAAAAGATATCTGCGTTCCCAAAGATATGAATAAATAGGATATAATCGATAGGGCACAAAGCCCTCTGTAGGTGGATTTAAATTTGTCCCCTTAGGCAAACATTCATCCCAAGTTTTCAAGGTCTCCTTGAACGAAGCAACACATGGCTGCCGACAAGGATCCTTTTGTCAGGTTGGGTCGACTACCTCCTCTGACTAAGTAGACCAGGGACCACGATGGCCCGGGACGACGGAACCATGGGATCTTGATCGGGTCTATCATCCATTCCCCCACCATCCGCTTTAAGTGTTAGATGGTGCAATTTCTATTTTAAATATTAAACTTTTTCCAAACTTCCATATCTCAAACACATGCTGCTACTATATGACAGATAACACGTATATTTCTACGTATCTAATTGACGACTAGCCTTAATCGAAAGTTCTCTCTCATGATTGAGAGGGGTAATTAACTATAGGGGCTTGCACCTATAGGAAATCAGAACTCAGATCATAATAAAGTCCTCACAAAATGAGGGCGAAATCTCTAGGTAGTGTCTTATCTACAAACCCATATGCCTTTCAAAATTTAGCCCAGAACTCATTCTGTTAAAACTCCCTCGCCAAAGAAAAAAGTGCAATCAATCAATGTGGCGGGGAGGCCGGGGCCGAATTTTCGGAGCCCACAGAATAGCTTGTTGATGACTAATGAAACAGATTGTCTAATGAAAAACTAGTATTGAAGGCCACAAATGATGGAGCAATATTCTGCATCATCAGTTAAGGATATTCCATCAATATTTGTTGGCATGTGACTCGGAGACGTAGGTGTTGTTACATCTTCAGCGTTCACCATGTTTGTTCTTTCCAAGAGATCATATATGTGCTTGTGTTCTGACAGAAGACCATGTTGAGGGAATTATTTCAATGCCAAGAAAATAGGAATGCTCACCAAGTTCTTTGATTGAAGTTATTGCAGCTGATTTGTGAGCTAATAAAGAAGATTATCTCACTACATTTGAGAATTAGATCATTGACATACACTAGAAGATGCATTATTATATGTCATTGTGAGTAGATAAAGAGTGATGTGTTCGATTTGGAGTTGACAGCCCTAGCATATAAGAGAATTGTCAAAGCTTTTGTTATCATGCTCGTGGGCCTTATTTGTCACCATAGAGCACTTTTTATGCTTATTTTGATTGTGAAAGCCATGGTGATGGCTCATGTAAACATCCTCTGCTAGTTGATAGTGGAGGAAGGTATTCTTGATATCCAATTGTTTTAGTTTCTATCTTTTGGAAAAAGATAGACTAAGAATCAACAATTAGAGTTTTGATAGCGGTGCCGAACATTTCGTTATAATCAATGTCATGATACTGGTGAAACCCTATAGCCACGAGAAGAGCTTTGTGGTGGTCTATGGAACATCCTTTTGGATTATTCTTGATGTGAAAAACCCATTTGCAGCCAACTAAGTTTTAAAAGATGGGGAGAAACAAGAGTTCATATGGCATTGCGAGTGCATTGACCTCTTTGGACATGGTTGCAAGCCATTCATGATGTTTTATGGCTTGCAAAACTAACGTAGTAGATATATAGTGAGAGAAGCAAGAAAGGTTGTTAGGCTTAATTTGTTGAGAGGTTTGTAGATGTGGTTTTTTGCACATGTTTGCATGTGATGATTGTTTTGAGTGGTATAGGATTATGAGGGTATTTTAGGGCTAGAGGAGGTGGACAATACTAGGAAATGCATGAAAATTTAGCTATTCGTGAGTGATTGTGTATGATTGTTGGACCAACCAGACTATGATTTTGTCATTCATATGATTCATGGAGTGATTTTTTATGCAATTTGATTGGAGAGAAGAGGAGGCCTTGGCTTGGAATAAAGTGTGGGCCAATGGTGAGGAAGAGAATGAAGGAGCATCATAGTTTTCATAGCAGGAAAGTGGCAAGGAAGACTAGGATGACCAAGTTGATGATGCCATTGATCAACTGAAGCCTTTTGTCACGACCTGGCTCGGATGCTCGAATTAACGAGGCGGGAACGAACAGTCGGACATTTGTAACATTTCTTTAAATTTAAAACAATTTATCATATACATTCTAAATAAAAAACTGAAGAGCTACTAATACAATTTTCATCAAACTAATAAAATCTTTCACATGCTTAACATTTACATAAACCATATATTACTTGCTGGCATTGTAGGTCGTCTTCTATAGACATTCTTCTCTCCTCTTTCATTCATTTCTAAATGTCAAGAGGCTAACTTGAAAGTTTAGTTTAACAGGTTGAGTTTATATGATAAACTCAGTGGATAATTACTCTTATAACATAACAGTTATATAAAAAT